TCATACATCCCTTACGCTGGGGCATAGCTCACGAACAAGTGTTCACATAACCACACCGACCCCTACAGGTCACTCTTAAAATCTCAGGTTAACCTTGCATTTTGGATTAAGGGGAATTTCACCATTCAATCAGCATTTCTGACCCCTACTGATCAAAAGCAACAGCTGTCTTCACATGTCATTTACAATTTTACAGCCAATATAAAATTACACACAAGATTGTTTTAAACATAACCATATACCATACATTAAACTCCCGCACGGGCTCAACTTCATGTTAATTCACAATAATTGACAGTTCACATCAAGAACAACAGTGGTTCTACCGACACTGCCACCTACAGGTTTGTCAAATACATTGACAATTTTCATGGGATTTTACAAACACCAAAACACTGACTCCTATAGGTCAACAGACAAACAACATTTTTCTCATACCACTCAGTATCCAACTACACTGCCACCTACAGGGCACTCGGCAGATCTCAAGTGCACTTACATTTTGCAACACCATGATTCACTGACCCCTACCGGTCAATAAGACATACAGCAATTCACATAGAAAATAGTATATCAACATCTGGTATAAATACACATATTATTACACAGTAGCAGACACATCTGCATATACGTAACCAGTAATATAGTTCACAAATACATTTTGTACACAGCACGCTGCTCACACAACAGACTTTCCCCTAGCAAGGGGACATACAACATAAAAGGTGGGGCCAGACCACTTTATCACTTATACATACGGCACTTAATGGGTTAAGATTGATACATATTTAACCAGTATGGCTACGATGTTTAATATTTACACATCACGGCACTTTACTATTCACATATACTGCACGTATTAAGATAAGCTTGGTCTATGCCATACTGTTTATCCATTTAGGTTACAGGTACTACTAAAAAATCTATACGGATTGTCAGGTTCAATACCATACTACCAGGTACGTACACCTGCTCAAGTAGTTATTAATATCTTATCTTCCCTGGAATAGTAATAGCGTACTGGCAATTAGGGTTCTAGGGTCCATATGTATTACCCCCTTTATTCTCTACATTACGCTTCAGTTAGTGGTCCTGCGAGGCCAACACCCCGCCTCACACTCGGAGGCATACACCCCCTCGGGCCACTCGTGAGCTAGCCGCCTTGCATTATATCATAGAGAGGGCCTGTCACTCCCCTTCCTATTTTCTGGTTACTGTCACCGAGAGGCCAACATCCTGCCACAACGTTCGGTGGCCACAAAAAATCATCGCGCCAACGCATAGATAGAGCCTCACCAGTCACCAAAAAACACCAAGCCTAATTGTTTCGCCTTACAGCTTAGCTAGCAAGCCAGCACAAGACCTCTGGGTACAAATAATAATTACTATCTTTATTGTTATTTAAGTATGTCTGAAGAAGGTGGCGAAGAATTACCTCTTCCTAGCACCCCGGCTAGAATCGATACACCTTCAAGCAGAGGAGATGTTGCTAGTCCAGCATCAATCAGATCCTGGACTATCCCACACATTACCACCGACCTAAGGAGGCAACAAATCCCCTAACCTGCCTCAGCAAAGAAAGCAGAGTTATTTAAACTCCTCTGCACATCAACGGACAACACGGAGGCGGGGGAAGGCCCCAGCAACACCAACTCAGGTGACACCCATGCCATTCTAGCCTTACTCTTGAACTCATGAGCAAAAAATTAAAGACAAACTGGTAATCGAGTCAGTCACCACAGCCCTCACAAGGTTGGGCCTCACGCTGCTGTACAACCAGCACCAACCGAAACTCGGTTACCTGGTACAATCAACTCTCCTGATACTCAGCACGTTAACCCTGCACATATGATCCCAGCACACAGTAACAGAGATATCCTGGCAGGTAAAAGATGTCAACTTAACATCTCTACCAATGGTCATCATGTGCCATGATAACCTCACTCATGAACTCCATGAGAAAATTAACGCCAGACTGGCAAAATCTCGAATCAGTCACCTCAGCACTCACAAAGGCCGGGCCTCCCTCTACCATACAACCAGCACCAACCGAAACTCAATCAATTCTTATGACACTCAAGACATTAACCCTGCACATATGATCCCAGCACATTGGGAAACAAAGCATATATATGTATGACAATGTATCTGTGATGGTCAGAGCCAGGGATTCCAGGGAAATCGGGAACTGACCATCCCGGAGTTGTGTTGGCATTTGGCATATGTAGAGATGTTTATTTGTGCAGGTATCCTAACAGAAGGGATTTTGTCCCAACCAAACGGACGAGCACTCTCAGGCTCCAGGTACCAGCACCTCTGGTAGAACGGAGCGAATTACCCGTGACAATCGGTTTGTATAGTTGTAGTGCATATAGACTTTTGCGTATATTTTCAAATGGTTCAGGGCACATGACAAACCATGTGTCCCAATACAACTTACAAAAACTTACTCACCATCTGTAAACATCAATGCACTTTCAACACTACTGACTCATCACCCTTCCAGACTTGTAGTAGATTTACTAAAGATCTGGAGTTTCAGAAGGCTCCCATACAGGTATCGTAAATATACCTTCAGGGAATATAGCATGCCCTCACTTGAAGTCAGCACAACAGAAACATCAGCTGTAAACACAATCATAGCCAAGATTTACAGAGAGGTTTTTACTTGGGCTTTCCCAATTTACACCATTTACAGCATGGAGCACAAACACATTGGTATTGTCACAGGGAAATCTTCCCTTAAACAAAGACTAGCCATAGACTTATAGGCACCACACACCTCTGTTACCCCAAGTCTCAACTCCCTCATACCCTCCGAGGCGTTTCCTCCACTCAAGCATGGGTTGAAGCTTGGTTAAGTTAGACCAATGTCATCAACACATTCAACGGCTACCATCTACCCTACACACTGGCACTTACATGGCATAAAATGGGCAGGCAGTTACTAATCCTTTCCCCACTCAACTTTCGGGCTACAAATTAGCCAACTATCGATATTCGCAGATACTCTGTGCTGATTATGATAACATATCCAGGTGCCCTACAGTCATACACTATCTAGATGACTTCTTGTTGATCCAGGATAACACCTTTTTCACTAGAAGCCTCACGGAAGCTTAGTCTGGTGGACCACTTGGGCGTCCCAGTACCGAATAAGAAACAGAAGGCCCAAACAATATCATCACATTACTGGGCATACGACTTGATTCAGCATCCTTACACGCAAGTTACCACAAGACAGATAGGGAACATTCTCAACTACAACATCACTACTTCCTGCAACCACAAGGAACTGCAATCCCTACCAGGTTCCTTAATTTTGCCATGCGAATCATACCACAAGACCACGCACTCACATCCAGACTACTTCCCCCTTTTTTCACACTTTCATCATGATGATAAAAAAAGTTTGGAATCCATCCCCCCATGTTCCTCTCAGAGATTACCAATAGCCATCCAACTTTTTCATCCTTATCTGACCTATTAGATCTACAACCGTTTAATTATACTACCAATTCGGCCATTACTGGCCATGTACACAGCCTTCCATGCCTTTCTCAGGCCAAGAGAATCCACTAGCATCACCACCACTCAGACAGATCATTGTCTTCAACGATCCCAACCACGTAAACACATAGATCACTACCTATTGGCTCTACCACATTCCAAAATGAGTCACACGTACCAGCAGCAGAGATAACGTACTATCCTACCCACAACAAATGGTGACTAGTTGCGGTCCTAGATTCCTGCCTTCAAAATCCTTCCAGGAATTAAATAATGCATTTAAGGAATGTCTGGTTAATTCGTATATATTTGTTGACTGTATTAAATCTTTGATTATTCATTTTTGCCCTCTTTATTTACAGGCCTACTGTATCGTCGGTCTCGGCACACCACAACTCCCTTTATACTATCCTACGCTTATGCTGGAACCTTACTCCATATACGGCTATTTGACCCTGACACAAGTATTAAGACCGTTTGGCCTGTAATTGTGGGAGGGGCTTAAATTAATTCACTCCCCTATATAAGGGACACCCCCTACCTGACTCCATATCGCTTGAGGTCAGCGTTAGAATGACCCTCCCACCACTCCTCATTTTCAACACTTTCTCTTTTCTTTCCATTTACTTTACTTTTTAAACTCCTTGGTGGGCCCTCTTTATATACAGGCCTACAGTATCTTCGGTCTCGGCACACCACAACCGACTTGCTCTCTTTATACTATCCTACGCTTATGCTGGAACCTTACTCCATATACGGCTATTTGCTTCTAACACAAATATATATTTTTTTCTAAATCTGGTTTTGTATCTTTTTTTTTTTTGTAATGAGCTGGTGTCAGGTGTTTATCTTCTTGGAATGGATGATACTTCAATTTTTCTTGTGTGTTAGTGACATATTTCCACCTAGGGCCTAGTGAAATCTGATTAATTCTGGCCATGGGAATGTAAAAGCCAAATCTGAGGTTGAGTTTTTAAAACATTTTTTTCTAGTTACTAGCTCCTCAGCTGCCAAAGTAAAGGCTTACTTTAGCCTAGATTTTCTGTAAGGAAAAAAAGGGCAATCTAGCATTGTTCATTAGCTGTCAAATCGCACTATTTGGAAACTAAAATGTTTTTTCCCCCAAGAAAAATTAATCATCTGCAACCAGGCTGTGTACAAAGTAACCTTCAAGCTGCATACAGTGCTTGTGATAACTGTTCACCTGACACAAATGAAAGCTTATTTCTCAGAACGCACATTCCAGGAACTGTCTTTTTCAAATACATTCTAATAATGTCCCTTGGTGTTTTCCCATGTTTTTCCTGGGAGTTTCACTTTGAGATGTATCTACTCAGTTGGCAAACACTGGGCTCTTTGTTGAAGTTTCTTCCACTAAGTATGGTTCAGA